CCAGTCTACTAGCTAACTAGGCTAATAAACACAACAATCCACCGGTCTCCAGCTGTTGGACATTGAGCTGGGAGCTTTGCATTGGCGGGCGGAAGCTCAGCCTGTCTATTCCTGCAAGTTGATCGGAAAGGCTTGGAGAAAGAAAGGGACTATGCACAGGGTGATGATGCAACTGCGCAATCAGCCTCCGGATCAACACGTGCCCCTGTGCTCGATGTCGCCGTGGCAGCGTTCTCTGCAGCGGTGCAGGCTTCCCGCAGGATGATGGTATGCGGCAGCTGCGCAGTGATGGTTGCTCCATCCCGCTGCCCTTCTGTGTGAACAGTGCAAGGCTGCTGCACAATGCGCGGCAGCAGTGGTGCGCATCGAGCGGCGGAGTCAGCGTGCATTGTGCAACAGCATGTGCCGCACTCGGAGAATGCGCACCTGCGCTTCAGGAAGCCGCAATCGATGTCCTGGAGCATGGCGCTCATCCTGTCAGCCCTACAATGGCTGCAGGATTGCTCAGCAGTTCCTTAGAGCATCAGACAATCAGTATATTAGCAAGATCACACCAGAGAGATGACGCATGTTAGTAAAGATGTAATTGTCCGGGAAGGTGCAAGTATAATGAGAAGGCACTGTCGTTGCCGAATGCCGCTGCGTGTGTATGTACGTGTTGCAGTGGAATCAGTGACAACAGGGAAGATGAACACGAAAGGCGAAGCCGTATCATGTAACGCATAGCAGGCTGGGGCACAACTATAGTCTGTAGCAGCAGCACGGTCGGTTGCGTGGAAGCAATCGTAGCTTCAGGCTGCGCAGATACGTCTACAAGCTGCACAGATGCAGCGGCAGACTGCACTGACGCGTTAGCAGGCTGCGTAACGGTAGACTCAAAATGCGCAGCAGTGGGCTCAGGCTGTGCGTCGGTGGGCTCGGGAGTCTGTGTGTCAGTGAGCTGCAAAGGAGATGTTGGGGGAGATGGCCTGGTTTGGGGCTGCCTGGCGGACTGCGGCAACGTGAAGACACCACATAACACTCCCATAGGAAGCAGAGATACCGGCATCGTTGTTGCTGATGATACAGGAGCTTGCAGCACTGGAAGAAGTCCTGCGCTAGCCCAAGCTTCATATTCCTTTGTCCATGCATCATATTCGGCTTGCGAGAGATGGTAGAACTTCGTCGTACTGTTATTTTAGTTGTTGAAGAGGACACGAAGGGTAGCATCATTGGGAATATTGCCAGGGCCACAGAAGTAGTCGAGGGGATAGTGCTCATAGACAACGCCATATCTGAGAGTGATCGCGGTGTCAAAACTCACATGGTTCATCTTCTCGACTGTATTGGGGTGTGTGGCATCTTCTACCATGGTAGATGTGATTTAGCTTGATAGGTACTGCATAACGAAGAGGAACATATGTAGATTGCTCAAGATGATTGCCGAGATGCGCTTCCTAAGCTCAGCCTGATCAGGCTTGGCTTTCTGTTTCACCTCTGTACCATGTGAATCAGTGGCGTAGATGAACAGAAGTGAAACGAGCGTACCTGGAATCTTTCCTAACTTGTAGCATTCAAGCTTCTGCACCCAATCTCCTAACTTAGCGCCGAAACTCATTTGGAAATAGTCCTCAAACACATTTGATGTTTGAAAAAATGTGGCTTCGCCCAATGAAGGGTGTCTCCGCGCAACAGCATAAAAAACGCCTCTACACCGGTGCGGTAGTACAGCGCAATAAGCTATTTGCTAATGTTAGTATCCTTAGCAAGTGCATAAGAGGCTGTATACCTCGCGTTCAATCATTGCCATGGTTGCACAAATGTTGTGAAATGCACCTATAGAGATGTTGTGGACTCCTGTCTCCTTTGCTTCACATTGCTCTTTCAGCTTCTCTACCTCCTTTCGCATGCACTCGACCTTCTCTTCTTGCGTTTTATGATCTCACTCGGCCTTCAGCAATGCTGCAAGCTCTGTAGACTTTCATCTAGGAGCGCCCTCAGAGGTTTCTAATCGATATTGTCATTTACTGTGCAGCAGGAAGTAATCGGCGTGTACTTTTGTTGATCTACTTTTGTTGATCTTCATCACCCACATGTGTAAATATGTGTTCCAGAGGCTGACCATCTGGCTCTTGCTCGTCTTCTTCGAGTGCTGCATAAGGAGCTGGTAGAAGTAGAGTGTGGTATGGCACCCAGTCTTTTTCTGGAGATTGTCGGTGATTTCTCAGATCTGTGCCCAAGCTTAAGAAGCCTTTGGAAGTTGTTCTTGATCGCTGAGCACTCTGCAGCGTTTGCAGCCTTTTCTGTCTGTATTTGCAGTTGCCGTTTGTGTCGCACACAATGGCGCCAGGGCACACATTTCTTGACACCTTCGCAGACAAATCATGCCTGTGATGAGTATCGTTGCACAGACAGAGATTTTAAAATGGTCTTGGGTGCAATACCATCAGGCATGACTGTGGGCAGGTAGATGACCGTGGGTGTGTGAGAGCAAGACATCATCTGCAGTGCAGTTTCCTCATATATGATTATCTGACGCTCAGTTCTGTGAAAATTGCAGTAAACAAAGTCACGTGCAGAAATCATTTTCTAAACACAAAGAATACAAGAGCCCAAGTTTTATGCAGGGACATAGTAGTGGCGGCGAGTGAGTTTATCAAAAGAGCTGGGGGATTTCTCAAGGTGTGCGTATTACCATATAGCTTCCTGCCGAGTGAGAAAGCGAGACATGCGTGCCATGAAGTCCTGTTGGTCCGCTGATCTCTCTGACAGCTTGTAAATGAACCTTATCTCATAGCCAAAGTGATCAACAAAGTTATCGACAAACTTGCCAAGAGTTGGTACCTAGATGTTTGTCACAAGGCTGGCAGAAATGGTGCAGGTATTCCCAGAGATCTGCCTGTTGATAAGCTAATAATTTTGGAATACTACAGTGGAGCATGAGTAAACAACGCATTGTGCTAGTAGATAGCGTACCATAGAGCTCGCGCAGGGCAGAAGTAGATGCCTCTGAGTCACGCAATTTATTCTGAGACAACAGAGGATCAGTCTCAGTGTCGCTGATGCTGTCGACGCTGTCGAGGGCACAAGTGCTGTTCGGTGAGAAAAGGGTCATATCTTCCAGGCTCAGAAGCTGACATTGCCAAGCAAATAAGATATTAATCTTTGCTGGTATGCGGAATAGAACAACGAATACCCACCTTTTGTGGTCTTGCCTTTGCGAGAGATATGCTCTGTTGGACTGTCTGAGATCTCGCCGTCAGTGAGAATCTCAACGGGGTCTTGCTACGAAGCAGCTGCACGTTGTGCAAATGAAGATCCACAAACACGGCGTTCTTAACCTGCTGACGGCCTGCTAGAGATCTTTGCCTTACTCTTATTTTAGTGCCTGCAAAGAGACTCCAAAGCCTGTCCCTCGCCATAATCCCTGCGTGTGCCTTCTTCTGTTTGATCGATGCTCGCAGAGTCTTTGATGGCTTGCAGGAACTTGTTGAACTTAAACTTTGAGTCCACC